GGGGTGGGTGACGGGTGGGTGGGCCAGCGGGGTTTGTGAAAATTGATGTAAAGTATGGGGAATTGTATCATCCATGGTGTCAAGGAAGTTAAGGTCTAGTGGTGTGGTGGGGTGTGCGAAAGGAAAGGTGGATTCGTCAAAAGTGACGTGTCGGGAGATTATGATTTTGTGGGTAGTTAGATGGAGGCATCGAAAACCACGTTGATTGGAGGGATAGCCGAGGAAAATACACCGAGTGGACCGGGGAGATAATTTGTGGGGGGCAGTGGCGGAGAGGTTTGGATAGCAGAGACATCCAAAGACAAGGAGATGATCGTAGGAGGGTGGGGTCTGAAAAAGTACCTCGTGAGGAGTACGGTTTTGGATAGTGGTGGTGGGTAAAAGGTTAAAAAGATGGCAGGCCATATGAAGTGCCTCGACCCAATATTCAGGGGGTAGTTGGGCTTGAAAGAGCAAGGTGCGAATTGTGTTGTTGAGGGTTCGGATGGTGCGTTCAGCAAGTCCATTTTGTTGGCTTGTGTGGGGACAAGAGAAGCGGAAAAGAATGCCTAAGGAGTTAAAGATGGTTTGAAGAGGGGTGTTACGGTATTCTGTTCCATTGTCACATTGTACATTTTTAATAGTTGTATTAAAATGATTTTTCACATAAGCCATAAACTTGGTTAATTGAGAAAAAAAATCAGATTTGTGACGTAAGGGAAAGACCCATAAGTAATGAGAAAAATCATCAAGAAGAAGCATATAATGTTTAAAACCAGTAATGCTAGGTACGGGCGACTACCATAAATCAGTATGCATAAGTTGAAATGGAAAGGTTGAAGTACGACTAGAAGAAGTAAAAGGGAGACGCACATGTTTTCCTAACTGACAAGCATGAAATAAATTGTCGTAAAAATGTTTATTATTAAAAACAGATAAAGGAGGAATGGCATGGAAAACAGCTGGGCTAGGATGACCAAGACGACGATGCCACGTCTGGGTGTCAACGGAGGCAACGTGTGCTTGAGCAACTGGGACGTGCGGGCGCAGGGGTAGAGGGGGCCGTTGTCATTGGAGCGATGAATCACGTTGCCCATTCGAGGATTCTTCACAGAAAACCCAGTAGAGTCAAATTCAATAGTACAGTTGTTATCACGAGTAAACTGACGAACAGAGATAAGATTGTGGATGATGTGGGGAGAAATAAGGACATTATGAAGAGATAAGGGTGGGGAGGTGGGGAAAATGTGTTTACCAACCGCCGTGGCGTGCACTTTAGATCCATTACCTAGAGTGATAAAAGGTGGTGAATTTAAACTTTTTGAATAAACATGGGAAATAGTACCTTGGTCGGAGGCGATATGATGTGATGCACAGGTGTCCATGAGCCATGTGGGTTCCTGGAGGGTCATTGTGTCAAATTGGTGGGCTAGGGCAGTGGGGGTGGGGGGAGAGGAGGGTGTCAGGTAGGGGGCAGACGGGTGGGTGGGTGGTGGGTACACGGGCTGGAAGGGGTATATGGGATGGGTTTGTGGGTTGAATGGGTTTTGTGGGCTAAAAGGATTGGGGGTTAAATTGGCTGGGTAAGGAGAAAAGGTGGGTTGAGAGTAATGGGCTTGGGGTGGGGTTTAGGTTTGGTTGGGGCGTTGGCCCAAAAGCCCAGCCCACTAGTGAGAAGGATAAGTGATCTGCCAAGGAGAGAACTGCCCAGAGAAGTGCCGAGAGGGAGTTCCGACGTTTCGTCCTCGACCACGACCACGAGTCGGCCGTCCACTGCGGCCACCGTGCGACTGTCCCCGTCCGCCGTACGTCTGGGCTGGTCCATTACTGCCGCTGCTGAGTCCGAGATGCTGTCCGCCATGACCACCGAAGCCTGGTCCGCGAGGGCCTCCTCCGCCGTGTGCTGCCAGCGCCGTGCTCCCCTCGCCGGCGGCAGGTCGCCGCTGTCCCTCGAGAAGAAGGAGGGCTGGTCGGGTCTCCATGAATGTTGGCGGAGGTTTTTGAAACTGTAAGAACGAGGCTTGATTGCTTAGATCCTCCGGGAGGCCACGTAGGGTTTGCAAGACAAGTTGATTCTCGGTGACCGGGGCATCGACATCGTCAAGCCAATCGGCAATATTTCGAAGCGTCTGACAATACGTAGCAATAGTAGATGTTCTTTTGACGGTGTTGAAGAATTGTTGCTCCAATTGCATGGCTCTTGCCGCCATGTTATCGTGAAACAAGTTATGAATCGATTTCCAAAGATCGGCAGCGGATGTGGTGGAAGAGATGATGAGATCCGATACCTCGTCATTGACGGTGGAGAGAATCCATCCTTGAATAAGGGCGTCTAGTTGGAGCCATTTGACGTCATCTTTTCCGGTTGAGGTTTTCTCACCGGTGAGGAAGCCTTCAAGGTTGAAACGTCGAACCAAAAGAAGGAAAAGGCGGCTCCATTTTTTGTAGTTTGGCTCTGAGAAACTGAGGGTAATAGGAACCTGGAGTTTGACGTTAGATATTGTTGTGAAAGCAAGATGGGGGTAGGTGAAGGAGTGTTTGATTTTTCTGAAGCCATAGAGAAGAGTTGTGGGGGGTTGTTTTAGAGAGAGAGTGGCGTGAGGGGCTGCCGGCGGGAAGAAGGGGCTGCCGTGAGAGAGAGAGAGGCGGCGGTAGGGAGTGCAACACCGGGAAGGAGAAGGTTTCGGGGTTAGCCGAGAGTTGGCTCTGATACCATGAAGAATTATTATTTTCTCTGATTAATAAAATGATTCTACCTCCCTTTATATACAAAGTGAAGGGGTTTACAATAAGGAAACAATATTATATATGGAGCCTATACAATTATGGTATGTATTATAATTGATACAAGGAATATACTTAACATATATAATAAATATGCTTAACATATTTAACAGTAATGTGAATTATTAAGTAGTCTTTCAAATGTTGTAAATCATTTAACTTTTGTAACTTAAAAAAATGAAATCTCTATATTCCATCATATACTAATTTTTAACATTTAAAAATGATGTTAATATGATTTAGTAACTTAAATATGACTCGTGCAACGCACGGGTGTGATACTAGTTGATGTAAGATCTGAATAAAGCTTGACATTCTCTTTTTTGGATCGCTTATCGGACTCAGGGCCTCCCAACTAATTTGTACCCATAGTGATTCATGAAGCACCCCAAAGGTTCAGGGATGTCGAAGTCACGGTCATCGTGGGTCCCCCGTCGGAGTTTAGGTTAGGACTGCACAGTTGGGGTTTGGGGTTGGGGTTGGGCAGACCATGGAAGGGGGAGGGGATGGATGTGGAAGGGTATATTGGAAATTCATTGTAATTTTTATTTTTTCTTAAAGTGCATGTAAAGTAAAAGCCACAAAGAAATAAAGAGTACTGCAAACTTCAAAATATAGAGTGCCTTCTATATTTGATTTTTTATCCCCCATATATAACAGATAGTTTTGTTTTGTTATTTCTTCCAATCTATTTTTCTCATGTTGCTCTTGTTAGATGCCTTACACACCTATAGAAGGGGGTGAATAGAGCTGTTCACGAAATAAACCAAATTTTTTGCAAGGCACAAGAAACGCAAGAATAAATAACTAAAGATTGAAGCAAAAATTAGAGTGCAAATAGAGACACAGATATATCTTGGTTCGGCCTAATGCCTACGTCAGTACGTCCAGTCCCTAAGGCAAACGTGCCTGAGTTTCTATTATCCTCATCAAAGTTAACGGAGTTTGACAATCCGAATACAACCCGAGAACTTGATTTCACAAGCCTCTAACCTTTCCACCGAAGTCTTGATTTCACAAGACTTTGGATTTCAATCCAAAACTTGAACTACTTCAAATTCAAGCTTTTTACAACATAAAACTTACAACCAATGTGCACAGCGGAAAATAATCCTTAGCCAAAAGCGGATTTGTTGTAGATTACAACCAACGTATAGTGTATGGCACACTAAAACTCTCCAAACTTCAAGGGTTAAGGAAATTCCAAACAAACACTTGATAACTTGAGTTGGAAGAAGATAGAATTGAATGATTCTATTTGAATAATCAAAGGATGTATTAAGAAAGATGTTCTTGGTGTTCTTGAATAATTTAAAACTTGATAACTGACTTAAAGGGGGAACTTTTTTTCCTCTTGGGTTGGGATAACGCATAAATATCTAAATGCTTGCACTTTTGTGTGGTGATTGGTTTCTGGAAGGCCAGAAGGTGATGATACGTCTGGAGCCAAGGAAGAGGCTTTGATGGGCTTGAGATCATGAAGAGGGTTAGCAAGCTTGACCGTGGGATGTCGAGCGCCAGAGGATGAGGGTTCATTCCGCTCAGGAGAAGTAGGATCGTGAGAGCCGCTGGCACCAGAGTCAGGGGAGATGATTTGGGCAAAATCGAATGAGATAATGGGATGATTGCCTAAGAAGTAAAATCCAGCTTGCCTGAACAATTTAGGATTGTGGAGGCGCTCATGATCGATGAGGCCGCTACCCTTCATCTCTTTAAAGGCTTTCTCAACCTAGGAACCCTTAGAGAAGGGGGTCCGAGAAAGCTTGATCTTACAGGACCAGTTGGTAAGTAGAAAGGCAGATCGGCATGAGCTTCAATCACAAAAAACTTATCCTCCCAACCTTTAATACGTAGCTCCACTTTGGTGAAGAGGGCGTATTTCTGATTGGGAAAAAGGCTGAAAAAAGGAGAATCGCCCCCAAGGCTAAAGAAGTGCATGAAGTCCCTCACAGAAGGGGTCCTAAGCTTCTCGCAGCAGTGGAGAATGTAAGATGCCAGGTATTGGTGTGCGTTGGCCGTAAATTGCCCAGGGAAAAGATCCCAATTTATGCACACTTCACGGATAAAGGAGTGAAGTGGAAGTCTGAAGCCGTGAAGAATTAAATCGTAGTGCATTACCAGATAACGTTCTGGCGTGAGATTGTGGGTAAATGAAATCCCGCCAACAGCGTCTAGATGATGGATTATATTTTAAATGACGCTCCCAAGAGATCGCGCATGAGAGCGAGTTCAGAACTCTTGATCTTCGAGGGGACGAGTTCTAGGTGAGCAATTTCAGCAAATTGAGCCATGATATAAGGGACCTTCGCGGGAATTGAAGAATTCACAGAGAAAATTAGGGACGAATTAAGAACGGTACATATGCCTAAAATGGGTAGCGAGTTGGAGCAGGAATGAAAACGACACGACTCAGAGCAGAGGGTGGGAAATGCAATCATTTCCTAACCAACGCTCAGACCAAGGGCGGTGCAACATTAGTTCCTTAACGACGTGTCGCTAAGAAACTAGGGGCGAATGAACGACCCAATCCGCAGAAGCCACTTGGGCGGTTGCGGTAAAAAGGCGCAGATTTTCGTCAATTGGCCCAAACGTATAGCAAAGGTACCCAACGACACAAAGACGTGGAGAGATTACGGGATAAGATGTTGAACCACCCCGATCAATGTGCGAGAGATCATGGCGAGATTTATGCGCACGATGATTGCACATTATGTATGTAATTGTAAGTAGTATAAATAGAGGGAGAACCCTCCATTGTAAGGCAAGTGAAAAACACTGAAATACATTTAGTAATAGAAATATTGTAAGATTTATCAATTATCATTATAATCCGTTCTTCGCCGCCATAGTTGTTGGGCTAATTCCCATCAATAAGATTGAGGATGACTTGAAGCTTATTTATAGCATTGAACAGACTACTGCTAAAGTTTTAAAGCTTTTTTAAAATGGACGAAGTAATTGCTCATATATTTTTTCTAAAGTTTTGACCTTTATATTTTAGATTTTAGTATGGATTAATAGTAATGGTATATATGTGGTGACGGAGCATGGAAAAGCAAGTCGTCTCAAGCTTTTATCAAGTACTCCGTATCAAGTATTTACTTGCGATGAAGAAAACAATGTCTTTGATTGAACTTGGAGTGTTATGTACAAAGAAGTTTTCCTTCTCTATTTTATGTTTATAATGTAATACTCTCTCCGTCCCAATTTAAATCGCCTGTTTTGACTTTTGGGCATATTTAAGGAAAATAAAAAATAGAGTTGATTTTCTGAAATTGACATTACTTTTTAGGAGGGGTGATGATGAATGAGAAGATAAGGTGAAGAAGTGTGACTTATTTTAGGGGTAGTTTAGGTATTTTATTTTTAAAAGTTTACGAAAACAACTAACATGCAACTTATTTTGGGACGGAGAAAAAAGGCAAACATGCAATTTAAAATGGGACGGAGGAAGTATGATTTTCTCAAAAATACTACAAACATGATATGAGTATATGACCATGTGCTTTTTTTATTGCAATTTTCATTTTTAAAATTAGGAACATCTTGTTATTTGTATATGATATGATGTATGAAGTTAATACTCTTAACGTGCATCGGACGGGTAGAATCTAATCAAGACAAAGGGAGTAAGAGTTGATTACTCCCACCGTCTTTGAGTATTTATCCACTTTTAATTTTTTAATCCAAATTAGTAAATTTTGATTTCACATTTAATTATAGTGATATTAGATATTGATATAAAAATAATTCTATTAGATTTATTATATAGAATATTTTTAAAATATTATTTTGTCTAATTCATATACGATATAGGAGTTCCAATGTCATGGGAACTCCTCCGTACAATATTTATATATTTTATTTAAGGGCACGACTAATTCCACCCCTTAAATGACTAAATTCACTCTTCAACCCAAATTTGCTAAATCCATCTATATATTATTTAAAAAGCCATGAATTGGCAATGGATTTTTCCCGCTCATTTCGTGGTACATATAATTTGGTAATTCTTAACCCCATATGGTAATTAGTAATGACAAACTTAAATGGTCTTAACCACATATGGTAAGATCGCATATGGTATTAATACACGGTATTTTAATTAAGGAAATTATTAAAAACGAAATTATGGTAAGATCGCATATAAATATGGTATATTTATATATTATCACACAGCATTAAGTTTCCTAAATTAATACACGGTATTAATAATCTGTTATAAAACTTTATAATTTTATTTTAATATTATTAAAAAGGAAATAAAATCCATACTTTATTTAAAAAGACATGGATTTTCAATTTTGTTTTCCCGCCCATTTGGTCTTCCACCAAAAATGGTAATTGTTTTTCATATGGTAATTACTCAATTAAAATGGAATTACACGGGTCATTAATGGAGTTACCGTAATTAAGTAATTACTCATTTAAAATGGTAAGTAATTTAAAGTAATAATAAAATATTCAATTTCTTAGGT